TGTCAGTTTAGTTCGCAAAAGTGGGAAATTTGCATATTATGAATTAAAATTTAGTCAGTATCTTCCTGACTCTGCCACTATAATTCTACACCTCCAGATTTGCTCATGCCTGATACAGCAAAACCAAGTACAACCTTTCAGCACTCTCATCAGGTGCACCGTTAAACTTATCTGTGCATCTTGTCCTTTACAAATGATTGGTGGATTTTAATTCCCATTCAACAAAACAATTTCCAACTTTAAAGCATTCTTCTTCAAATTATACTATTCAGATGTAGCATATTACTGCTTTATTGGAGGGGGGCTAGGAGGTGTAATATTATAAACTAACTGTGTGAGATAAATATATTATATAAGGAAAAATGCTGTGACATGAGAGCAAATGAAATAAAAAGAGTAATTTAGAAATTACTTTAAAATATTTTGAGGTCAACCTCAACTTAGAAATAGATTGTTGGAAAGCACTTTTTATGTAACTTTCAAAGGCCCTTAATTTAAGCGATTAAAGTAGCACCTGGGATCTTGCAAGTAAATTCTGTGTCCCAAACAGTCTCCTTACACATCAGACTGAAAGGTCATTTCACTTTTGGCATATGATAAATTTCCATTCTTTGTTCTAAAGCAGTTAGAAAGCTCCAGGCTTTCTTTTAGCTTATTCTAGATCAGGGGTGTCAAACTCAATTTCATTGAGGGCCACATCAGGGCTATGGTTGAACTCAGGGAGCCGGTTGGGCATGGCTAACTGGGTAGGTATGGACAACTGGGTGAGCGTGGACAACCAGGTGAGCACGGCCAGCTTGATGCCACTCTCAAAACTTTTGGCCTTTTTTCCTCTTCGCATTGGGTAGACTGGGCCAAAGCCATGCTGGCCTGATCTTTCTTCTTTGCATTGGGTAGACCAGGACAGCCCCATCAGCTAGATCCAACCACATTGCAGACCGAATCCGGGCCGTGGACCTTGAGTTTAACACCCCTGTTCTAGATAATATAAATATAACTTCTGGAAGACAATATGCAAAAATATAGGAAAATATTTCATTCCGCCACACTAAAATTTATCAGATAAAAAACCAATTTAGACATTGTTTGGAGTAGGAATTATTCGCTGCTCCCTACTTTTAAGGGTTGGTAAGCCACTTGGTAATGCTTTTACCAAGCGTTACTTGGTAACGCTACATCTTATTGAGTAGTCCCAAGCCTCTTCGGAGGTTTCAGATTTTAACAATTCTCTAAAAAGCAATTGTATACATTTTTTCTTTTCCACATTTGGATATGCATGAGTAGCATAAATGGATTCATGAAATCTAGCTATTTCTTTCCAGCCCTATCTCTCTCTCCAATTTCTTGGCATGTTTTTAAGTAATCTGATTTAATTTATACAAAAGGCACACTGGTTAAATAAACAACAGACAAAGACAGAAAAGCACAAAGAATCAAGGACTGCTTGACAGATAAACAATACAAAGCAAAATAAAAACAAGAAAAATTATTTGCATAGCATATTTGGTTGAACAAAAGAAACTTCAATGATTAATTTAATGTTCCCTTAATAGTAGCATGTCTACTTTTTAATGCTTGTCCAAGAAAATAATAGCCAACTTCACTAGAGAGATCTACTTAAGAACTATTGGCCTTGCAGCAAACAATTGTAGCTTTCTTTTTACCAAGTCACTCCTGAGTTCAGGAGTTAGTTGGAACAGATTAAAACGTTGGTTTAGCCATTCCAGTTCTGCATTATTGGAAAGAGTTTAGTAGCATCTTTTCAAACTAACACATTTTATTTTAAAATATAAGCTTTTGTGAGCTGCAGCTCACTTCATCAGATGCATGGAGTGGTATAACTTATTTAGGATTAGAATAGAGTAGGATGAAGTTGGGGTGTACAGAAGTACAGCATCAGCTTATTTACAGTATGTAAACTCCGCTGTCTTTCACTTGGTAGTGCTGGTAAAGCTTCTTTGTTCTAAAACTGCTACTTTGAGATTTGTTACTTGTTCTGTTTGTTTCTCTTCTTTGTTTATCAGAGAAGTCTTTATAGAAAGAAGATTTGTATATTTGTAGCTCGAGGTTGAACTGTGGGGTCCTTTGTAGTATCTGAACTTGACTGTTTTCTTGTAAATGTTTCATTACCAAACTATGTAACTTAATCAGTGCCATTATCGGCATTGATGATGTGATCTAGTTTGATAATGAAACATCTATAAGAAAACAACCAATCTCAGAGAGCACCAAGAATCCCAGACACTGGTGTCATTAGGTGCCTCCTTCCTTGCCTTTCTCCGTCCATTTTGATATTGATTGAGTTTGGAGCCTCAATTACCTCATTTTCCAAGAATTTCCCAACTCTCTTGAACTGTTAATCTGAACCTGAAAAGATGCTACTAAACTCTGTTTTTTGGGGCTACAATAGGCTAATAGAGATGACCTAAATGTTCTTCAATAATGATTTTATGATTGCAAATCACCTAAGAATAGCTTCTAGGTGAGATGCGCAACATACAAGTTTAATAAATAAATAAATGCAGTAATTATTATAACTATTTTTATTTAAAAAAAACCCTGATCCTCTGAATTAATCATTTTATATCTAATTTTTAGGGAGACAGAAAATACATTCCAACCTCAACATGAGGCTGTTCGAATCCGGGGACCTTCCAAAGAAGATCTTGGGGATGAATACGAAGAAAGGCCAGAAATGTGATTTGTGTTTCAGTTGTCTGGAAGCAAACACTTCCAGAACCTTCTTTCCAAAAGAAAGAGAAAGAAAATATTGATTTATAATCAATATTATTTGTTATTCAACAAATGGGACTTTAATATATGCATTGGGAGTGGGATGAAATAGAGGATGAATAACCATGTAAAAAATACAGGAGAAGGAGGCACAAAGCCGAGTAAGATAAGCTGAAATAAAAGGCACATCAATTTCCAGAATCCTTCTCATCTGCTTGCTAGAAAGAAAAGAGGGGAAAAAACCTTGGGAAGTGTTATCTTGTACCATAGATTTCATGCAAATTCTGAATGCAACAGATGGGAATTCTTTAACACTGACCTTTTCTGTTGCATTTGGAAAACAGAAGCAAAATTAAACCCACCTCAGTTTCTATGGAATACTTTTAGTATTCTAAGACAAATATATAAAAATCTATGGCTTCCGTTATGCAGCATCTAGCACTGGATACTTGATAATCATTTGNCAATCCGGGTCCTCATTTTACCCACCTCGGAAGGATGGAAGGCTGAGTCAACCCTGAGCCGGTGAGATTTGAACCGCTGAACTGCTGATCTAGCACTCAGCCTGCAGTGCTGCATTTAACCACTGCGCCACCTTGGCTCAAAACAGGTACTTTAATGTCAGAACATGTGTGATTAAAATCTCACTTCTACATTGAAGTCATATTCATTTACATGACTGGTATCATAAATAAATGCTGTTAGAATATCTATAATTTTGAAGTCAAAATATGTGATCCTGGCTACACATATGTCAGCCTGGGATTTTCCCATTTCCAGTGGTTTCGTGGGGGTCCACCTTCCTCTGGTCACAGATGGCTTCCAGGGCTGATGGGTGTTCGGGACTCAGGACCCTGGACAGCACTCATTTTTTTTGGTGTCCTGAGTCCTGAAAGCTGACCCAGCTCCCAGGCTGCATGAAGACTCAGAGAAGATGACTCCAAACAATCAACTTTGGTGATGTAGACATTATTGTCCAATCAGGCAACATGTCATACAAAAATGCTTTGGGGCAGGAAATCACAAGCAGTTAAATGTAGTTGCATTTCATATATTCAATGTGGATTTTACATCCGTTCTGAATGTCAGTCCCAAGGTTCTTAGTGGAAGGAATAAAACCATGTCAGTGTCCAGCAGTTTGTGATTTTGTGGTAATTTTTCTCTATCAACTACCTTGTTAATTTGATACTCTCTCAGCTAGACTCAGAGGAAGACCATCTCACTGTGGAAACATTATTCATTTTCTTTGAACCTTATCTTATCATATTTCTTTAACTGCACAGTCGGAAAGAGCTGTCAGTCATATTATTAGGCCAAATGCGAGGCCAAACTGCTAGGGTCATGTGGCACATTCTGGAAGGTAGCAAGCTTGTATAACCTCTCATAACATGTCAGATGATCCTAACAATGATACTTAGCTTACTGTATGATACTTAGTATGACATAATACTTGGCTTATTATAGCTGGAAAGCGCTACCTCATTGTACAATATTCTGTAAACTGAAATGTAGTGATAATTGAAGGTGAAATAAAAGAGAACATCATCTTGTTTAACTCACCAGGCCTTGCCCAAAATCTGACACCAATACTGTAATGAAAACAAAAGGGAAGATAGCTTTTATCCTGGAACATATCAAATAAAGCCTTGATTAGACTTTACTGAATTGGAAAGAAAATAGACTTGCTATACACCAGATGGACCTATAGATGGTAGCACTAGATCAAAAAAACTTTCCTAAATGTTAATAAATTGCCTGTATATCATTGCTTATTTCTTTTTCTTTTATTCTCATTTTTCTTATAAAGCAACATATGAAAAAATATTATCTGTAAATTTACAATGCAGAACAAGAATAAAGATCAAGACTAATCTTTCTGCCTTTTTCTCTATTTAAACGTTATGATTCATATGACTGAAATAGAGACTATATATAAATTGATGAAGTATAAATGGTCACATAAAAGCTCAAAAATTGAGCAACCAACAACCAAATTGTTTGGTCAATATAGTTTATTTATGAATAACTTTGTTTATTGTACTCTTTACTGTACATTTTTAGGAATCCCCGTGCAATATATAATAAATTAAAACATATTATAAAATGTTTTAAAGCAATGTAAAAAGCCTATAATATAAAACAATATTGTAAAAACAATATAAAAGTCTACAGAGAGTACAGCACAACTGATAAGAAATTAAGATTAGCAATAAATAATTGCATAAAAATAAAAGAATGCAATCATAAGAAACAAAACATATACCACAATAAAATAATTTATTCAAGGCATTCCACACATTTCGGTATAATATATTTTCCCCTCAAATGGAGGATTTCAAGTTAGTGCTTTCTTATCAATACATGGAGATTCTCTATGCTTTTCTTTTACTGGACATAATCTTTCTGTGCTGCTTCTTCACTGTTCTCCATTGCATCTCACCTTTGACAAACACAGAGTTTTTATTCATTCTATTTGAAGATTTGGCATGAAAAGAAAATTCCCCTTAATCATTCTTCTTTGAATGTGCAGTTTTCATTCTGTTCAGGGGCTGATTTTACAAACCAGCCTACCTGATTCAAGAACAGCTCTTCATACTGCCATGTACAAATGAATTGACTGGGACTCTTTGGAGATTCAAGTTGCTATTATGGTAGACATTTCTTACAATATTTCAAAGTTAGATTACAATTTATTACTTATCCATGGTGGTGAAGAATTACTAAATGAAGGGTAAATGTTCAGATTCATGGCATTTAACTAATTTAAATTATTATTTTAATTTTAGTCTTTGATCTCGGTTTATTTACTTCTTAGTGCATGGTCCCAGCATGACACTGGAGACTAAGTATTGTTCCTGAACTATTTAGAATATGCATTGTATAGCTTATTATAGCCTTTTTGTTGGGCAAATAAAGAGACATTTGAAATATTATTAGGAATGAAGCTTAGAAATTTCTATATGACACATCATTTCATATCTATGGCCTCCTGCTCCAGGTAAAGCAATTATTATTTACAGTCCCCTCCCCGTTTATTATAGTCAAGGTAATTCCATGAAGGAGAGAGAAATAATGCTCAGTCATCCAGAGCATGTCATGGATAATTTTTAGCCTTGACTTATGGATATTAGTCTAGCTTCTCAATCACTACGCTACAATGCCAAACTACGTTAAGGTATAGATAGGTATTCAACAAGATGAGATCTGCTGAGGGCTCACTTTCAACTGCCAAAGTCAATGCTCCTGCTCCCTGTGATTATCGTTGCATTTCACTTGTCACTTCAAAAAAAAAAGCAGCATTGTAACAAGACTAAGAAGATGAAACACTTTCTTAAACACATTTTTCCCCTTTGAGGAATATACAGTTTAGATAAAAAGGCAGAAGGATGTGAATAAGCAGTGGGGAAAGAAGTTGGAAAAAATCCACTGAAGACATCTTGTCTGAAATGTCTTCAAAACTGGCAGCCAACCCTGCCCTCATGGCTTTCATCCAGACACTTATAGCATAAGCATGCACCCATAAAAATGTCCTCTCTCATCAGTACACTATGATTTTGTAATGTTGATTCCCACAAAGAATGAAATTCTTTAGAAAGCTGAAGAATACTTTCCAGATGATAAGATCATCGTTGCCTAACCTGCATGGATCATTGATAGTCCAATATAACTCTCAGGCAGAAGGCTTTGCTGTTATATTAGCTGTGTTCTATTACTAAATGTTTATTAATGGATGCAGCATATTAGTCACATGCACTATATCAAGTTTGTTTATAATCCATTTCACAGAGAATGCTAAGATTTGTACAAATTTCACGAAAACTTCTCACCTGCATTTTATATTCACAATTGTTAAAAATATGCTACCTCTAGATTTGTGAAAATATAATTCCTTATCTGGGAATAAATCATAAGAACAAGAAATCAATTTATATATTTGGAATTAAAGCAAAACTTATATACAGTTTTGACTCACAGTTGCTACGCATTACAGTTAGTAAATAGATAGCTGAGTTCTAATTATTATTATGTTCTTTTATGTAGTACATCCTTGCATACATTACATTTCCTGAAGGATTTAATATATCATGCAAACCTATAAACCTTGGTTTACCAACCATAATGGCTGGGCTTGCACAATGCACATTATATTCAGTTAAAAGCAAATGAACCATGTCATGAGAGTTTCCCATTGTGCTGAGCTAAAGTTCTGCCCACCAATCTTTAACTGGAGAGAAAATTATACTGGTATGAAATCTGTTTTCTTTTTCTATACAACTTCTCTTGACTCTCTTCCCACTTACTGTCAATCATCTGACTTCTCTCAAAGGTAATTGGTGACAAAATCTGACGGATTTTATATACCTTTAGGCTGTCCTTGGATTGTGTTCAAATAAAGTGTATATCTGTATGAGGGGAATATTACTTTAAGAGTGATAAAGGATGACTTGAACCTGTTTTTTTTCTGGGAAAAAGACGGAGATATCATTGAGAATCAGCAGAAAAAGATGTTACCAAGGCATAGTCAGATGTAGGAGGAAAAGGAGAAGAAACAATACACTAAGTGTAAACCCAGCCCCTGGTTGATTATAGGTCTCTCTTTGCTTAACCAATCTTGCCATGATCATTGAAAATAAAACTGAGACGAGAATATGTTAGATGACTTCTTGACTTCTTAGATAGCCGGTGTACTAAAACATTTTAAAAGGATTGCAAATCATACCAACAAACATAGCAACTGAACTGGACTATTATGATTCCTTGTATCATGCTTCATGGGGTTATACATCTGCTATTAGAACATCATGCAAAACTGATTTTATATATGGTAAAATAAGAAACAGGTGTATATTTTTTTCTGTTTGAACCTGCTAAGTGATCGGGTTGTTTTTCTTGTTTTCTACCAGGAATACTGATGCTGACAAATGTTTCTATAAACACCACCGGATATTTTATCTGCCTTTCCCAAAACATTGTTGGACAGAACAAATGCAATCTCACGGTTGCTATTGTACCTCGTAAGTGTTTGGGGATGCTTGGATGGGGCAGACTTAAGTAGAAGAGAATACCCCAGTGACAGAATAAGCCAATAAGCCAATAGAATAAGTCAATAAAATAGATGGTGAACCTTTTAGGCACAGAATGCCCAAACCGTAAGGCACGTGTGCGCCGGAAATCCAAAGATCAGCTTGCTGAGCTGGGGCAATGGTGCATGTGCCTACAGAGACGGGGTCTGTGTGACACCCCCGGCACACATGCCATAGGTTTGCCATAGATTCACGGGAATAAGCTTATCAGTTTTTAGATCAAGGAGAGTAGTTCACAATAAGAATTACCGGTATATGTTTTACTGGCAGATGCCTTCCAGAATGCTGTCCTATAGTTAAGCATTGAATATTGCTCATTCACTTTTTAGAGCAGTGTTTCTCAACCTTGGCAACTTGAAGGCTGGCTGGGGAATTCTGGGAGTTGAAGTCCGGACATCTTCAAGTTGCCAAGGTTGAGAAACACTGTTTTAGAGGCTTTCCTAAAGGACATTATCAGATCATCCTCCATTTATGTTTTATCCATAGCAGAATCCCTTTTCTGCCCCTAAAAGGTATATTTGCAGTTATTTATAGTGATTTGTTATGTAGATGACCCAATTACACATCTCCGTGCCACAAAAGATTTTCCCTAATTAAAAAATATTTTTAATTGATTTAACTGCTTTCTTTTTTTTTTTTTGTTTCAGCCTGTACTTCTTCTGGAATAGTAACATATAAGTGCTGAAATACAGTTTTTAAAAAGAATTTTAACTCAAAATATTTTTCAAATTGTTGTGGGTTTTTTTTTTCTTTAATTAGTGTTGTTTTCTCATTATGGGGCGGGGAAAGGGAATTATTTTATTGTTTGCTTCTACTTCACTAAATATTTGCGCAGTAGCTCCACAATTAAGGGCATGTGTCAGCACATTTAGTGACTGTCTGAAGGTATTGTCAGACGAAAAGTCCAGATGCATTTGGTATGTGCAACCTATTATGTTCCATCTACCAGAATGCCAATGGGCAAACAAAAAGATCTAGATTCTGTTCAATTAACTTGTTTATCATGGGCAGTTTGTAGCATTACAAATAATGACAGCAATTTCTGGCCACTATGATACTGGAAGTATATTGAAAACAATCCCATTTTTAAATGAGAAAAAATATGGAACATTCCAATTGTGCCCACATGTCTAGTTTCTTCCCATACAGTACAGTCCAATTACC